CGCATCTGAAAGATGCTCGCTTGGCCGTCGTTTTTGTGACAGGTTGCGTAACCTATCCTTTCTCTCCAGTACCTGATGGAAGGCAGTTACAACAAAGTCTTCCTGGCCAAAGGCAACATCCCGGCCGAGAGTTACGCCTTTTTCATTGACATCCTGCTGGACACTGTCAGGTGTGTTTTGCTCCCCTCAGTTTGGGGACATGGGGTTTGTGTGTGTGTGAGAGAGAGAGACAGAGAGAAATAGAGAGACAGAGATAGAGAGAGACACAGAGAGAGAGAGAGAGAGTGACAGAGAGAAAGAGACAGAGAGAGACAGAGACAGAGAGAAACACACACACAGAGAGAGAGAGACAGACATAGAGACAGAGAGAGACACAGAGAAAAACACAGAGAGAGATAGAGAGACAGAGAGAGACACAGAAACACACAGAGACAGAGAGACAGAGACAGAGAGAAACACAGAGAGAGAGAGACAGACAGAGACAGAGAGAATGACAGACAGAGAGAGAGACAAACACACAGAGAGAGAGATAGACACAGAGAGAGAGAGACACAGAAACACAGAGAGAGACAGACAGACAGACAGAGACAGAGAGAAACACAGAGAGAGAGACAGAGAGAGACACAGAGAAACACACAGAGAGAGACAGAGATAGAGAGAGAAACAGAGAGAGACAGAGAGTGACAGAGAGACAGAGACAGAAACACAGAGAGACAGAGAGAGAAAGAGACACAGAGAGATAGAGAGACATAGAGAGACAGAGAAACACAGAGAGAGAGACAGACAGACAGAGAGAGACACAGAGAAACACACAGAGAGAGACAGAGATAGAGAGACAGAGAGAGAAACAGAGAGAGACAGAAACAGAAACACAGAGAGACAGAGAGAGTGACAGAGAGAAAGAGACACACAGAGAGAGATAGAGAGACAGAGACACAGAGAAACACAGAGAGAGACAGACAGTGTGTGACAGAGAGAGACAGAGAGACAGACAGAGAGAAACACACACAGAGAGAGACAGAGATAGAGAGACAGAGAGACACAGAGAAACAGAGAGACAGAGAGACAGACAGAGAAACACACACAGAGAGAGATAGAGAGACAGATAGAGAGACACAGAGAAACAGAGAGAGAGAGAGTGTGTGTGACACAGAGAGACAGACAGAGAGACAGACAGAGAGAAACAGAGAGAGAGAGAGAGAGACTGAGAGAGAGTGACAGAGAGAGAGACAGGGAGATTGATTGATTCAAGGCTGCATTGCGCCTTCTCCAAGACAAGAGGGGGCACTCTTACTACAGGTAATCCTTGAATCTATAAAGATTCTCAGTCATCCAGGTCAGAGTTGTCCCTAAGGTGCTTTTTCAAGAGGCAACTGGATTTTCCGGGGGGAGGAGGGGGGGTTTCCTGGCGTGCCCAGGTGTGCCAGTCACCTGGTCTTCCAATTTCTGCCACGCATGTGTGCGTGATTTCCAGCTGGCCGGCACGCACACACCAGGCCGCTGCTCTTCCGGTTTCCTGCACTCCCACACGTGCGAAGACCACCTGGGCAGCGCACCTCTCCCCACCGGAGCCCTGAAGAGCAATGGGTA